GCTTTAGTGTTTAGATCCTGTTTCTCTTTAGCATCTTGTATTTGTATGCAAGTTAGCGAACAGTTATGTTGGTCTTTACTCTTTTTGAATTGATGATTTCTATAAGTTCACTTTGCGGATGCAAATTTAGAAATCAGATCTAAATTCCACGCGAAAAGTATACATAATAGACGTATTTTTGTACATAATAATCATATTCTAATCATGGATCCGAGCAAGAAGTGTGTGCTTGTTATATTGTTCCTGTGCTGCAACTTCAGCGCAGTATTCTTCATCTGAGAAACTGCTTTTTCTTATGATTTTATTGGCTCGCTTTAGCTCGTTAAATCGTTATCATCACCAATTTCTCGGTTTTCGAAGGCATCTGTATTTAAGCTCACGAGGAACTCAAATTCTGGGATAAAAGAAAAGACTCCTGTAAATCTAAGATTTCCGCTACGTTTTCTGATTTAAATGGACACTTTTGTGCAGTTTGAAGAACATTCTTGACGGCTTTTTAGAGGGCGAACTCCTTTGAAGAAAGTTTGTTTAAAATGAAAACGAGGACTTGAGGATTTTGGAGATAAATTTAATACATTTTTTGAACATGGCACCTTCGATACAAGACAATTTCCCTTCAACACCTGGCAAGGTCAGCACTCTTGTGAATTTTGTGAAGGAATAAACTTAAATTTTCCAAGGGGGAAGGGACTAGTCAAATATATAACGTAGCCCAACGATTTGAGAGGTAGATGTGAGACAACAAGAAACTGTGTTTAGCCAAAGGGGGAAATTCGCATTAATCCATGTAATAGCAGTTCTTAAAGACTCTGGTGGTATGTGCAATCTCGTAATATAGTGACACACTCCACAGAAATCATGTCGTGTCTGAGAATTTTTTTAAGCAAAGAACATGATGGCTGGAATTTTTCATTCCTATTCTCCTGGAACCAGCATACTTGCTTTAAATGAATGATTCGCCATTTCCATCCACAAATGCCAGCTATTGCCTTTTGCTGAAGTGAAGGGGGGATGCGAAGTTAATAGATGTATTAGGTGATTCCTGAATATTTTGAAGCTCCAGGTGTTAAATTGGTTTTATTTCATGTTCAGTGATCGAAGCACCTCTGAATTGTGCCGTTCCAACATGGGTCAGACTCTTAAAGATAGTCTAAGACAGTTTATTGTTCTCATTTGTCTGAAGAAATGAATCAAAAATCAACTGAGTTGGTGATGGTATACCCTGCAGGTTAAAATGGAGCGCAGCAACTACTTTGGGTGGGCAGCAAATCGCTGGTACACAACCGCATCAGCAAAACTTTTTTTCTTCTCAGTTTTCCTCCTGACCATCACGATCATTATCTCCTTCCGAACTTCTGAAAATGGTGCGGTAGGCGGATACGTTAGGGCGACATACACTAGTTTTAACGGTGGCTCGATCAGCCCAGCTTTTAAGAGCGACCACGCCTGGGACCAGAAAGTAACACAGTCTTGCATCCGAAAGCGAGTGAATGGGTTAGTTGTCCTTGTGACTGGAGCAGCAGGTTTTGTTGGCAGTCATGTTTCGCTTGTTTTGAAGAAACGTGGAGATGGTCATGTTGGAATTGATAACTTCAATGATTACTATGAAGTCTCTCTAAAAAGAGCTCGGCAGCAGATGTTGCTTAAGCAAAGTATCTTTGTGATTGAGGATGACATCAATAACGCCTCTCTCTTGAAACATCTATTTGATATGATCCAATTTACTCACGTTATGCATCTAGCAGCGCAGGCTGGTGTGCGATATGCTATGCAAAACCCAATGTCGTACATTCACAGTAACATCGCTGGATTGAGGCTTGCAAGGATGCTATTCCTCAGCCAGCGGTTGTGTGGGCGTCATCGAGCTCAGTCTACGGACTAAACTCAAAGGTCCTGCAGCTGCTTCCATCATGTTTCTGTTGATTTTCAATAGAATTTCTTAATTGTAAGCTTTAAGTTTACACAATGCTATTGACTTATTTTCCTTCTGACACTCCGATTGTGCACATGTTTTGGATTCATATTTTAGGTTCCTTTTTCGGAGTCTGACCGGACAGATCAACCCGCCAGTCTCTATGCTGCTACGAAGAAAGCTGGAGAAGAAGTCGCTCACACTTATAACCATATCTATGGACTTTCAATCACAGGTCTCCGGTTCTTCACAGTGTATGGTCCTTGGGGCCGACCCGATATGGCTTATTTTTCTTTCACTAGGGACATTCTCACGGGGAAAGCAATCAACATATACAAGGGTAAACATGACCGGGATCTGGCGCGGGATTTCACTTTCATTGACGACATTGTTAAGGGATGTGTTGCATCACTAGACACTTCAGGCAGTAGCACTGGAAGAAGGGGCAAAAAGAGGGGCTCCGCGCCGTTCCGCTCTTTCAACCTCGGTAACACTTCTCCAGTCACTGTGCCAAGCCTGGTTGAATGCCTTGAAAGGCACCTCCAGGTGAACGCCACGAAGAAATTCATTAAGGTGCCTCAAAACGGTGACGTTCCCTTCACACACGCCAACGTCTCCCTAGCTCAATCCGAGCTGGGCTACAAACCAACAACCGACTTGGACACAGGTCTCAAGAAATTCGTGAACTGGTACACCAAGTACTACGCTGTGCCATCGGCTAAAACGAGAATGCTGTAACTTACGGCAAAAAGACGCACTTGCAAGCGCATCGACGGCGTCTACCTCAACACACAACCCCCCTCCTGAAACATCTGCAAAATGAAGAAATGAATCAGAGCAGCAGGGAAGGACAATCCACAGAAACTTGCAATCCGAGACACGGAAGGAAGATGACTGCAACCATGGCCGTCTAGGAGCTATTGCTTGCGAGTTCACAAGGCCCTGAGCACCTCAACACATGAATCTGCGTTGTGTGTGTAGTGGATCTGAACCAGCATGGCGATCAAAACATGACGGCGGTGGACTGATCAACACAACCCACAAGTCTGACGACCGTGGTCTGAATCTCACAGAGCATTGTATGGTAAGTTTAGGCCAAAGTTATGCTTTTTATTTTGTTTCTTTGTTTTTTTGTTTTTCGGTTCCGAAGTAGCTCCAATTTTCGGTATGGATTTGCATTGCATCTTCTTTCCAGGCTCAGCCACTGTCTAGGTTATGGTCCCAAGTGAGAGAGGTATAGCGTAGAGGGAGCTGCTTGTTTCTACAGGAAATAAAAACTAAAAATGAAAAATAAAATAAAATAAATCATGCCAGTATGTGCTCAATCTTGCAACTAAAGATTATTCAGTCTCCATCTGGGTTTCAGTCTCTTTGGTTTGCTTCAGCTTTTCAGCATTCAAGCTATCATGGGCTGGCTTGGAATGGCCACTGTATATTTGAAAGACTTACTTTGTCTCTGGTTAAGATGAGGCTATTTGGGGCTGAAGATGTGATGGGGAAAGACTTATTTTTGAAAACCTATGTTTGAAAAATATTGAACTGAGTGAATGATCTATACGGCTGCATTAATTATTCTTGTGATTGTTGTTGAGTAACGTTTTATGACAAAGTGTCAAATCAAAATCAACATTACAATAGTTTTTAAAAAAATTAAAACTAGGAAAAGATCTGATTTTGTTGAAAATTTTGAACTTTTATGATTTACAAGTAGAAATGGCATGCTGAGTTTTTTCTAGTAAATTGTGTCATTGTTCGAAGGCGTATTCGTTTTTTATTTTATTTTTCATGAAGTTTATAATTAGTTTGTAAAAAACATTATTCTTAGATACAATATCTTATAAAATAAAATCAAGCGTTATTTTATCAAGTGAAGATACTACAAAAGTCAAATAAAATTTGTATAATTTATTGCAAGTGATATATTTTTCTAATAATTCAAAATAGAAATTTAACTACTGCACAAAGAAGATTTCAAAAAACAAATCTGTAATAGATTAAGAGTTGCTATTAATAACTTTTGAGGATGTCTGAAATCAGATTTTTTGAATACTTATATCAAATTATGTACATCCATTTACTCTACTTAATACCTTTTTATTTACTATAATGTATAATTAGAATTCTATTCTGGCAGTATTAAACACATTCCATTTAAACCTCTGATTTAATTTCGTTTTACACCTACAAAAGATCAACTAATCCAGAAATATCTCTGTTTTACTATGCCCAATTCGAACAATTACTGTTTCTACCTACAATGTATAACCCGTTTTCATTTAAATAGATCAAATGATAAAAATAAAATAGAAATTTTCCAACTTAAATAATTACATTGTAAAAAACATTTGTTTTGTCAATCTTTGTACCAATTTTCTGTTTATCACGTGTGTTAAGATAAATATTAACTAAATACGTTGAAATGTAAATTTCCAGTTGAATTTGAGAGAGAAGAAGATCAGGAAGACAGGTAATCTTTCAAACAATAATCTTCAACACGCTTTTAAAAACATTGACATCAATATTCAACACTAAGTAAAAAGCATGGTAACACACTTCTTTTGGAGTTGCATGTAAGTGAACCTACATGAACATATGAAAAACTCAATTTTTGGCATTCGTAACATTTTTATGCATTAGTTTTATGTACATGAATTCACAATTGTGCGCAATTTAAAAATTTTAAAAATCGTATTTTCAATATATATAATGATCATTTTTTTTTTAAACTTTAAAATGTTTAATGTTATTCTCCATGAACTTCTATTTGAAAAATTATACAATTGGAGCTTCAATTGTATTACACAAAATAAAAGTAAAAAATTATTACGAATGAATTTTAATTTAGTTCATATATTTTTCTTAATTTACTTTCGATTCATAAAAATATGATAAATTAATTACGGCAAGTCTCTCTCAGGAAGTGAAAAAGTGACGAGCATCGATGTACAGATACAATTCCAAGTTAGAACTGTCGTGGAAGTCTCGTCGGATGAAGAGATAATATGGATGGATGAGTTCATTAGTCTTAATGGATGAATAATTCAAACAGTGTTTTCTCGTGCCCTATAATTCAAACACACCAGTTGAGTTGAGAAGGGGAAGAGAGCCATGCACCATGAAGTTTGCTTGGATCATTCATGCTTATGGAGCGCCGAGGGAGGGCCAGATCTCGTACTACTTCCCTCCTCGCGGACTTCAGCCTGTTCCTCTCCGAATGATCGCTGGAATATGACGGCTGGGGGAATGAAGCGCTGCTGTCGAAGAATTGGCAAGGACTGCAACCACGAAGACGAAGAAGAAGAAGACGAATAGCATATGGCGCAAATTTGCATGTGTCCCCTCGGCACTTCACTCGATACTAGGGACACGATGCGTTAAAATGTTAACATGCAGGGATTGTGGAAGAGTTACTGTCATTGCTCATGGTGATTCAATGAATTGTATCTCATCTTGAGGAAAATTGATCCGAGGCATTTCGGTAGGAATTTGTCGAAATTTGACGAAGAGCGGGAATGGCGGAATCACGTGAGTTTCGGATGATGCTCGAGGCGAAAGAGCGCGAGCTCATCGCTCTCTGCGACCAGCAGATTCAATCCCTACAAGGCCAGGTTAGGTTTTGTTCCTGTTTCGCCACAGTCGCTTCCAGATCTACCATTGCGGGAGAGAATTGTCTAAGTCTCACGACGTTTTAAAACTCGGAAACGTCTGCATGATTGAGTTCTCAACCATTCATGTTTTTTGTTTTGTTTCTTTATTGATCTGCTAGTAGCCACATTCCAATCCTTTTGCTCTCGTTAGTTGTGTTTTAAATACGACAATTGCCCTAGTTTTTCATGCTGTGATCGTCGCTCGCGTTGGTGTATGAGTAGGGCACTGTCGATTCACTGTAGAACTGAAACGAAGACCTTATTCAAAATTTTGGCAATTTTATATACTGTTGAGAACCAGATGTTACTGTATTTAGTTGCTAATGTTGGTATTTTTAGAAACCAGGTTAGCGAAAAAGAGAATGCGGTGGCTGAGTTGAGGGATCAAATCTCCCAGTTACAAGATGACTTTAAAGTGAGGTTCTGTTTCTGAAAAAATATTGCTCTGTGTTGTCTGGACCGTCGGAAATTGCCATTATATTGTGTTAGAGTTTTCCAAACTTGCCCACCATCTCATTCATCACTTGTAACCAGTACACGATGAATACAAGTGGAGAAATTTATAATTGCTGCTAACGAGCGCTGTCACTGAAGGAATTCTTGCTTTGAGTAACAGACAGGGAAATTTTTAGCTCTCTTTCATGTTTTTCTCAACGTCCGCAATCGCCTCTCTCTGCGTAACCTGTCATCCAGCTTTCGAAAAATTGGAAAGTAAAAATTAGAAAGATAGTTTCATAAGTTAGTCGAAGAAAGTATGGGCAGAGAACGTCACACTGGGCTCATGTTCGCCAAAATAACCATTCTCACGGTTGATTTGTACCCTGAATATGGCAGTATAATCTTGCTTTGCTGGATGCGCGGGATGCAGAGCTGGCGCAATATGACGTTTCGAGTGCTGCTCTCGAGGTAAATCCGTCACGTCAATGGTCTTGAGTGTAGGGAATCTGTGCCGATTGGAAACCTAAATCGACAAACATTGACGTGTAAGATAACTGAAGAAACATCGCTTCATTGAAATCAAACAACGTGAAATATTTCTCCTGCCTTTAACACAATCACGTTGTCAGGAATCCAACTGAGGTCAAAAGTCTAATTTTCTGTACTAAATAGAAGCCAGAATTATGTAAATTTTTGAAATCATAAGATACAAATATAGGCGGCTAACTGACTACACAACCGATGGCTTAATAAGCTTCATGATATTGTCATTTACAGTTGTGTCTTCATTGATCTTACAGATCATTTCCAAGGTGAAGGCACTAGGTCTAGTTCGAATTTCCACGTATTGATTCATTTGCGAATGTGTACAATTAATAATAGATTTCTTCATAGAAGGTCTGAGCGATGTTCTCTGTGATTTTGTTAGTAAAGGTAGCACTCCTTGTTTCTACAGGCATCTGTGGCGGAGAGCGAGGAGAGAGTTAAGGCAGCTCGCAAGGCTCTTGCAGATGCTCAGACACTCAGAGTTCAGGTCTTGATTTTGAAGTTCACTGTCGCTTGGTCGGTAGAAATATTTCCTCGAGCAATTTCATCCTTGTAATGGTTGCCGAGATTCATGTTGGTCTTCGTCAATTTTTCAGGAGAAAGCGAGGGCAGAGGATTTGGAGTATATAAGCCAGCAGAAAATTTCAGACTTAGAAAAACAGGTTGGTTCTGGGTTATCATTTCCTGGACTTGATTATAATCCTTGTAGCCACCGCGGCAGTGTTATCTACGATGAGGTAATATGACTATCTCTTTCTCAACATGAAAAAAACATACTCATGGCGTCCAAAAATTTATGACATTGAATGAGACCACATCACCTCCGAGGATACCACAGGCAGTAGAATGTGACGAAATGCGGTAGTCTTGCTCACCGTGATAAGCAAATTGGACTTATCCTTAGTTTTGTATCCACCAAAAAGTCTAAAGATAAGTTTCTCGTTACATAAGCAGTCTCTTGTGATGCAGATAGAAGGTCTGCAAAGATTTAAAGAGGAGCTACAAGCTAAATCTCAACAAGAAATAGAGTCCATTAAAACTGGTACAAAGTTCGGAAATAACTTTAATTTTAAGAGTATCTTTATGCTATCGATCGTACTTGTAAGGTCGGCACTGCACTGTGTGTTAAGGTTTAACACAGAAAACAGTTCTAATCATTGCTTTAAGGTGATGTTACTCGAATGCTGCCAAAGAGATGTTTGAGTAATTGAACAACTGAGAAACTCAATCTTTCTCTGCGTTCTATCTTTTCCTCCAATTTCAATTATGATAAGGTGCCAGTATGTATTACAAAATGAATACAATCGAAAATTGATTTTTCTGTGTAGAGTTGAAGGATCTTCTAACGGAAAAATTGGAGTCAGAGGAAGAGCATAAGAAGGAACTGGACAAGGCAACAAAAAAGTGGAAAGAGAAAGTAGCTAAGGCTGAGGTGGTAGCTTTTAAATCCCCGTGTGGTGGAATTGCGTAGTAGACTTATAAGAATCTAGTCGCTTAACAAAGCTCTTCATCATGATGTAATATGTGTGAAATTGTGAAACCTGGAGTTGTCGAGATGTTGAGTCTCTACGTGTGCAGGCCCGTTTTTCGGAGAGTGAGGACGATCTCAAGTCTGCTAATAGGAGAATTGAAGCTACTGACGAGACGTGCAAAAATCTTGTATGTCCCGAGCCTTCTCTTTATCTGCTTCTATGTCTGCGATAAAGCAGAAATTTCAGCTACTCTCATATGTGAATTGCACACATTGGAACCGACCTGGTTAACTCAAAAGGAGCCGACTTCTGCTGTGACTGCAGAAGAAGGACCTTGAAGCTGTTCGCTTAAGTCACAAGGAAGATGTTGATGCTGCTTCTCGGCGAGAAAAGGAGCACAGTATAAAGGTGAGAACTTTTTGAATCTTGCATCCAAGGAGATAACCACGGGAATGAATTGCGCATGTATTCAGATTTTGGAGGCATATCTATGCCACTTTATCACGTCATACACATGTTTCATTTTTTGCAGGAGGAAGAGCTATCATCGATCATCGATAAACAAGCTAAAGAGATTCAGGTCTGACATGTGCCTTTTTTTTAGTGTTTTAGTGGTAAATTAGTCATGTAAGTTCTCTCTTCTCTGACAGTATGCTTTCTGAATCATCCCACACTTATTCTGATGTAGCGTTAGAGGTGTCGTGGACCTTAGATTAGGGACTTTGAAGTAGTCAAAAATAGTTGATTTGAACATCACAGAACCTGAGTTGCTTATTTCTGAGCCGAAGTTATTACTAATCAACAGCTACGCTAGAGGCAATCTGCTAAACTTAATCTGTAACTGAACTCTAACGTCGTACAGGCACTAGATAAACAGCTACATCAACTAAGAGAAAACAAGGATGCTAACGTGCAAGCAGGCGATCCCAGCGGCAATCTCAAGGAGCAACTGATAGAATTGAAAGCTCACCACAATGCAACCGTGGACTTATTTGTTAGTCTTCAATACCTTTAACTGTAGTAACTGCAGTTACTACCGTTGGGATTATTATGCATGAAGCAATTGCTTAGATGGGATCCATTAGCAGCGTGATGTGCAAATCTGGCCGCAATGCTCAGGTTTATTTTAACACAATCATTAAGTGTTGCATATAAAATATTTCGACCTGAAACATTGGAGTCTTACGTAAGCTTATCGTTTTATTGGTGTTTTAAAAAACCTATTAAAATGGAATTTGCAGAAAGGGGAAATCGATTCCCTCAGTAACAAATTAGAGGGTGCTGCTAGTCAGGTATTTGGTGAATTGTGCTTACTTCACAACCCAGAGTTTAACGCCCCCGAATCATTGTTTTGAGTAAAATTTTAATGTCAAGATTTATTGATAATTGCATCTTTCTTTGCATTCTCCGAGTGCAGTAATGAGCATAAACTCTCACTTTTTTACGCTGCTCTGTGTGCAGTATGAGAGTCCTAGTTAAACATTTTTGGAAGCGTTGACATAATTACAAAAATACTCATAACACGGTTGACAGACGCGGGCCTTAGAGGGTGAGATAATACGAATACGAAAGGAGCTGGAAGAGAAGGCGCAAGAGCACAAAGAATTGGACGAGAAACATATTATACTCTATAGTAGCTACCACGATCTTCAGGTATGTTTCGAGAGCACTTGAATGATTGAAAGCAGTTGCGTCGATGTTTTTGCACGGCAATAAACGGGTTCTTCCATTCTTGTTTTCTGTACTTTTACATCAGTCTATTTGATCTTAAACCGTGATGATGCGCTGATGTAGGCTGCTTTGCCCTAGGAAACCTATTTTCTCTCCCACCCTAATCCTTTTAGAGTGTAGCATTTGAACCAGTTCGATAAATCTATGAAAACATCTTGACAAGTGATTTTTTAGCGCAAAAACTTTTCTTTTCTTTCTCAGAAGAAGCTGTTAGAAAAGAGTCGACCACTGGAAGGAGTATTACCTCAGGGACTGGTAACTTCTCTTCCTTTCTATTGTTGCTGTCACCTTTTGACCTTAATTTCCACATTTATAATATACTTTTTTTTTACATAAAAACATTTTATGTTAGTTCTCAAAACGATTAATTGTGCCATTCCTTATCAAAAGCTTTGATACTTGTGAACTTTTGGGATAACGTAGTACGTCACAATTTGTCACAGAGAATGTTGTATCTGGAATGTCACCTCCCATAACTTGTTCAGAATTCATAACATAATACACCAATGAGTTTCAGTTAGTTCCAGATTTTCATTCATGTCTTTACAGGATCTCCCTGAGAAAGGCAGCGGTGGATCCAGCTCCTATCCGGCTGCATCGCCGCTCATGTCCCCTGGATTGTCTCGTGAGGATGGTAAACATCACTTTCTCGCTGAAACATCGCATGTCTCACATTTGTAGGCGAAACAGATATTTCACAACAGTCGAGAGCACAAGTATACTTTTATGTTGAGGTTTTCTTGCAAATTAAGGATACTCATTGAATACGACACTGTTACAGTCATCGAAAATACACTATTGAAGAAATACTGTTCTTTTGAAGCACTTTTTTAAGACCAGGCTGAACTTCGTGGGTTGATTATTCAGTGATTAGGATAAATCAAGGAAAGTTGGAAGCTGAGAACAGCCAGCTACGAGCTCGATGTGAAGAACTTGCTCTACAGAATGACCGTATACGTGACGTCGTGGGTTAGTAAGATTGATGATAAGAGCTTGACTTTCGCACTTGCTGGCTTATGACGTCCACGGCCTTTGAAAATCGCTTAAATTCGCGGAATTGGAATGGAAAATTTACCACTTCAAACGTGACATGGCTGTTGACCATCTCACATACTTGAATCTAATAAAGAGGATGAACTTCATACTCCTGAGTGGATTCAGGAACTATGCGCATGGAAATGGAGGCTCTGCAGAACCAAACCAAGAGTCTATCTATCACTCCACCCTCTAGCCCTATCAAAAAGGTTGTGCCATTTTCTTTTTTATTAATTTAATTTAAGTCAAAGTTGTCTCAAGATAATGTTAATTTTGACTTCAGGTTTTTACATGTATTCTGCGCTAGCTCGTCATGTGTAACATTCAGTTCGGTAAAAGGACCATTCAGGAAAAATATTCCACGATTTTTCTTCTACCACAGTTGAATTTGCAATTCAACTTAGTTCTCCACCTTTTAGGTGCAAGGTTATAGATCATAATGAAACTGTCGCGTTACCTTGATATTTCGATTGTGATTAAAAGTGTATGATGTACCTTAGATGATGTACAGATGGAATTGGTCTTCAAGATAAAGCTCAAGCATTTCGTTGTATTGAATATGGAGCTGCGTCTGCAGCGTATTTCAGACATGTACGTGACCTGACTATTAAGACCTTTGGTGACACTTGATGAGCAGCGTTCAGGGATCGAAGATGTAAAAGAAGAAGTAAAATACTTGAAATCTCTAGTTCAGACAATGTCCAACGATATAGGCGATATACGAGGAAGATCACCTACTGTTCATTGTCGAAGGTCGTCAGAGAGACGCTCGACCTCACTGAAGAGATCAGGTGTGTCACCTATTCGTCGGCCGAAATCATCTACGAAATTGCGATCCCACTCTTGGTCTCGATCATCAATATCACCCAGTCATGGTGTGAGACCGGACAGGTAAATAGTGTCGAGTTTAATGATTATTACTTACAAGATTGGAGTCAAATGAGGAATCTTTATACATAGACAGACCAGTTATTGTTTTGCAATTGAAGTGTATTCTGAGAAGTTTTTCTACGGCTCTCTGAAATTTCTTGTCAAAACAGTTATCCTTCAAGCTGCATAGAAGTCTTCCGGCTTGCTAGTACTATCGACCTACATCTTTCAGGGTTTGCTGAGGATGCAAACTAGATCGGAAGCTCCATGCAATTTGAGTCCGGAACAGATTAGAGAATCCGAGGATCTCAGTATGAAAAAAGTTATTATATGTGTAATTGTTTCTCTGTATCTGACCGAGAAATACTGTCTAGAGAATTTTTCTGTCGTCTCTTTCAGAAAAAATGGAGGATCTTTAGTCTTTTCAATATAGAAATCAGTCTAATGTATGAGGCTTTTCGTGGAGGCTAATCCCAGCTTCTGTGTCTCTTACAAAGATAAAGCGACCTTGGTCATCAAATATTCTGTTTTCAAGGGAGGGTTCAAAAGATATTGTGTAGGTAAGTAACAAAAGGCAATACTGGTGAGGGTTTTGCAGTCCCAATTTTTCTCCAGCAGGAGAGACAGTAGACAAGGTATCGGAAGTGGACTCTCTGAACGCAAGTCTTCGTGCCCAGCTGGAGGCCGTCAAAACAGACATGTCTCGCATCATTAAAGAGCGAGACCTTCTGATGGAGCTCAGCAATGGCCTCCGAGCCGATCTCAGTAGGTTCGTCCATGCTTCCTTTTATGTCTTTGACATGGTATTCTACATCATCAAATTTCGACCAGCTGATAAATTCGACTATTTACATGTCTCCATGACTAATTAATTTAAAATCAAACCTCACTATATTCGGGTATCGACTGAAAAGATCTTCTAAAAAGTTGATGGAGCACGGAGTTCGAATCTCAACTACTTTGGTTTTTATTTCCTTCGTGTCGAACGCCATTTGAAACTGTAGTAGTTTGATGACAACACGGCGTTACTTCTGCGAGCAGGATTGTGCTTTCTTCGGGAACTGGAGAATTTGCACACAATTCCTCTTTTGGCTACAGTACTGTTCCCCCAAGTCTAATTGCTCAGGTACACTTTATCATCTGTACGATACCTCTTCCATAGTGGTTCATTTCATGTGGAGGACTAAGAATATTAGAACATTATATTCAATGCATGATGGTTGACGTTACCTTTTTGATGAAGCAGTAAATTTCATGCTGTTGAATTCGCCGATTGAAATGTTTTAGAACATAGAGCTCGTCATCGTTTTGAAAATATATCACTCGTCTCCTCTCTCGCGAAAATGCATGAATTTATCAATCCTGAAATCATACTTTTCAAAGAGGAACACATTGAAAAGCTTGAAGACCGTCAGGCGTACATGAAGATGAGAATATGTGATACAGGCCTGTTGGATGATTCTCCGATTGTAGCAATTGAAATCAGAAAAGAGCCGTGATGAGTTTTTAGTTACCTGGTGCCTTTGCTAATAAAGAATCAGCTGAGATTATCTCTTGTGGAGAAAAAGTGCTGAGCAGCTTTGCCTTTTTTATTAGATACGGAGAGGATCACCATGATTTATCTGCCTTTTTCTACAACGCAATTTATTTCAGTTGTTTTACCACACTCTTGTGCAATTGCAGCAGGAATTTGAATCGGACACGATTCCAAGAAATGAAACATTGATAACAAGCATGAGCAACCAACTCGATGTTACACATCCAATACGTCCACGGACAACTTCGCCTAGCACAACTAGGTTCAGAAACAATGCGAAAGCTCAAATATCGAGCTCAAAGCAATGGGGCTTTGGCGTTAGCCACGGTATGCGTCATTTCCATGGACTCAAAAAAAACTAAAAACCCTTGTGAGGAAGACCTCCCATCACATGTTTCTGATGTAAGAAAGCCTATATATTGTCCTAATTATCAGTTGCAAAATCATGGAACATAACCATATGAGTAATCATTTTTATTCCCCACTGACTATGAACTGATTTGGATGTTCTTTCTGTAATCCTTCGAGAGAGAGAATCACTCTCTATTGACCTGTTAAGATTTCCCCTCATCATAAACCGTACAATCAAATTCCATTGTCCTTGTGAAAGCATGAAATATTGAGTTTTTCCATATATATATATATATATATATATATATATATGCACACATAGATATATTTCAAGAGTGGTATATGAATTTCTGTAATTCAGGAGCCACGAGGGAAAAGAGTGAAGCAATGAGTATGCAAATGGAAGGGACATCTTACCTACATGAACGCCCTCAAGGAGTTGATAATGACCCTCTTCACAAGGTCTTACCTGAACCTTCCGTTATAGCCTCTCCACGTCCTTCTCTTCCACAGGAACCGAATGTAATTGCACTATTATAATCCTTTTATTGTAATGCACTTCGGCTATCTGACTGTTGAGGCATATTTTGTGCAGAAGCTCTATGTCAATAACATCCTTACTTGTTCTAAGAAAATGAATTATCTCGTTCTAAAATTTGTCTAATGTAATTCCTTTCTTTTGGATGTGAATCCACTTAAAAGGAATTACCAGATAATCATCTGAAGAACGTAGTTCAATCATCTCCTACAGAATTCATTTTGGAGGGTATCACTGTGGTTGTGAAAGAGACTCGGTAACAAGAAATAGGTGATTGGGTTATCTTGCACTCATTCGTGCAGTTTTAGTCTTTGTCGTGCTTGCACTCTCAGTGATATTCCTTCACGAATGTGCATCAGAAATTACTCTAATCTAGTGATATACCTCTTCTTGCAGGGAACAAATAGTCAGCGAGCTCGGTTCAAAGCAGCAATTAAACGTAAAGAAGAACTCAGTAAACCGAAAGTTAGAAACTGGAATATCAAAGATGACCATCCTCTGAAGGCGTGAGACGTTGGCTTGTCCAACATCCCAGTTTACCCAAAGTCTATTTTTGAATGACCAGCACAAACTGGTCGTCTAGAAAATCTACCCTCAGAAAGAAAGGCTAACCTTTGATTCATTGTTTTTTTCTTCTTTTTTTTCTTCTTTTTTTTAAAATTAAGCGGAATATGGATATGCGTACATTAGAGATACGTATACTGGTTGGGAATAAGTCTGGCGGTTTGACCCTTGTATATTTTGATGTATTTATATACATGATATTCAACAGTATTCTATTTCTTGGAACCAAACCCAAGTGCCACGCTTCTATATTTCTCTCATGCTAGATGTATTTAGACAGTAGCAATGCAATTAGAAAAGATGTAAATTGTGTAATCAGCACTTATCTCAGTGTGGGGATCGTACACACTGATTTTTAGTTGTTTCTAATCAAACCTCTGTAATTCTATGCAGGTTTATGCAAGCGGTATCCGTTCCAACTCTCTATTCCTCGCCTTAACTTGATCTTGTGAAGTGGAGCATTCAGTCATGTTTGTAGGTCAGTGCCATTGTGCCCTTCAACAGACTAAAAGTGTTGCGGTGGATGCACTTCCTTAAGAAACTGGTCCAGTTCACAGCAAAAAGGATCAAGCGTTACATTTCAGTCACATGTGCAGATTAAAACAGCGTTGACATGCATATCCTGCTCAGACATGAAATTGTCCTTTTAATGAGAAATAGTCATGTAGGTCAGTTTTTCGAATACGTAAAATGCGGAAGGTAACGTACATGCAGATCAAATGAGTACCATTCCGTTACGTCTTATGTTATTATTGACGGCAGATTCAATTTTGCGAGACTTGAGCACTTCACAAATTTGACTTACCACGGAATGGAATCAAATAGAAGTGAAGTCTTTCATCAATGGGAGGTTCTTAGAATTTATTTGAATTACATTCGTAGTGTGCAGTTATTATATGACCATTGTCATGTGTCTGTAGTGGTTTCTCTGAAGCTGCCACAACAAACAGGCTGTTGAATTTTGATTACTAGATGACATGGGTGTGGAACTATGGCCTTATCAGTCCCATGCCCACGCGGTCATGAGGTTGCAGGTTGATGAAATGCAGGTATAATATAGCCTGCAAAACAAGTCGCCACATCGACACGAGTCGGTCAATTTGGAATGTTAACAGATGATGCCCATAGGATTGGTGGCAAATCATATTTGATGGTGGAGATGAATACGGTGTTGATATCATGAGAGAATCTCTCACAAATTTTGCCGTTGGAAATGAGACGCGTGCATAGTTTGAACAAGAAGGTAGCGACATGCAAACTCACGAGACTTCCATGCTTGGTGAAAATGTTGCAGATGCAGCCTGCGTTGGAGCGTCAACGGCGCATCACTTGTTCGATGGTAATGGAGATTTGTCACCTTCCACCATTGGCACGTACATAAGTAGGACAAAGCAGATCGGTCAAAGAAAGAACAATTGTTATGATGAGTGAAATTTTTCTGCTACCACTTGAAACAGAAATAGCGATTGCGAGATTTGAAATCTGTGAAGATTTGCGTGTGATATTTCAACAACGTGTTGTCTGATCGAAACAGTGAAGATTTGCATCTCATATCAGCGGCAAGTGGATGTGTGAACTTCCATGTACTGGTCATGGTTTTGAGATTGGCGAACTTGGCCCCGGCTATGGTGCTTGCTTCAACTTCCTTCTAGAGGCGAGTCCACTTAGCTTGAGAGGCATAGCCATGTTAATTACGTCTGAATTGAGGATGATTCCCACCAGTCTCCCTTAAGAATGCTAGTTAACAATCTGCTGCGAAGGACTGTGCCTTAACCAATATTGTATCTCTTTGAGTGCAGCGTTGGTACTGTCCGGTCCATTCAGTATCATCGCATAAAAAGGATCAAAATTGATCCACACAGTGATTGCACGTCAGAAATGTCCTTTAAGAATAATGAATGTCTTTAACGGTTCACCATTGTGATCAGGTATGTCAACAAAACAGCCTGATGAGCTTCTCAGGGGCAACGTAGTGACTGCTTGAGAATTGCAGATTCAACAATCGCTGCTGTTGCTCATCATGACATCTCAGCACGAGGTCCTCCGGAACACGTGAGCGTGACGCTATACATTACCTCCTTGGATGCATATACTTTCCATCTTTCCAGCAGCTGTTTGTTCTCATCATTCAACTTCTGCGCTATGACTGTTTGCTGGACATGCCGATCAATCAGCTATTGTTTCAGGGATCTCGAACTAGGTTACGATCCCCAGTCGCCGGTGATAGTAAACAATGGCCCTCTGTACGCCCGTACCCCAATCATAGCAGCACGCGTTCATACCAGTCCACCTGCAGCAGCTAGGATATCAATCTCTGGTACCTCCTGTGCAAACACACCTCTCGTGCTTGCTTCGCGTTACAAGTTGTACTACAAACTTCCTAGAAAAATCTATTTCCCATCTGACACAAATGGATCTTCGCAGCAGGAGAGACCATCAGCGTGCTGCGATGTATAGATACAAAGCTCCGACAACCGCAATAGTTCGGAGTCCATTCAATGCACCGATGATGTGATTGGGTCAGAAAAAAAGACCCTGAGTCCCCCCCCTGCCATGCATCTCTCGATACCATAACATATGGCTGTGCAATGGGACTCCTGACACTGCAATGCATGTATAATCTGATTTCTACTCATGTCTTCCGTTCCGAATTCCACTTATCATGAGAGGGTGGACTCCGAACCATCTCAATCGGCATTTTTTGTCATTTCTCCAAGGAGCTGAAATGGGTGCTCACAATTGAACTTGGATAACAAGCGCTGTCTCTTGACAGAGCAATTCGATGACGCACAGCCACGAATTTAGCAGCCATTACAGATGAAGTTCAGTCTCACGAGCAACAGATGGAAAAATGTGCAAAATATGTCCGACAATGTGAAGCCCAATGCCAACCCAACACTTTTTCGAGGGCTGTTTTTAGGTCTGGATTCGTCAACATGTCCATTTGTGTGTGCATTTTCTCAGCTTCCAGAGACATGTCTGAGAATCCAGATCCCTTTTCATCCCATGTTCCTCTACCTTCCTTGCTGTCTTCTCTGCATCCAAACCAAGTTATTAATAAAGCTCACTTGTTATAATCGTGTATGATGTGTTTTACAATAGTTTATGTTATGAACTTCAGATCTAAAAATCGATTTCTCCAATTTTGTAGCAAATTGAAAGTTTAAAAAAATGAATTGAAGTGTGAAGGTTTGAATGTACAAAACAAGTAAAAACTGATATAATTATATGAATACATGACTAATAACTTTTTTAATTCTTTATAATTTTTTAAGGAACAATTTCAAATATCACAAGCTTTACTATTGTAAATATAGACCTAAGTTTTAAATGTCAATTAAACTAGAGGACATAAGTTATAACTCGTCTGAAAGTAACTAATAATAAAGTGATACTTTAATAACTTTCACTGTGTTAAGATTATAAGCAAGATTTTATTTTTAAAAAAAACACTTTGGAATTTTGGGATTAGTATTCAATTCAGTTCTCAGGAAATTTGTTACCATATTCAGAATTATATCTTAATCATTAATCTTTGATGCTAATACATTCATAATCACCACAATAACAAAATAATTTTACAAGCATGCCTTGCAATGATGCTTATGATATTTTTTTTAAAGATGTGAAACAAACCATAAAGATTGTTTCTTAAAAAAAAAGTTTGATTATAATTTTAAATTTTATATAAATTAGTAGGAACGTTGAAACTCGTTTATATGTTTTTTTCTTTTTTATAGATTATAAAATAAAATAAAATAAAAATGTGATGTAATTATTGGTTATTGATCAAAATATCTTTCAAGGGTTTTTCAAGTACGTTTTACAGTGTTTAATCTACTTCTTAATATGTAATTTTTTTAAATACAAATTATTTTTTAAATAACTGATCTTGAAATTTCATAAGTTTCATGCATGATTTTCAGTTTGAATTTAAAAAAAAAAAATTACATCAATTATTCACGTTTATTTCTAATCTAAATTATCTTAAAAAATAATACAACTTATCTATGTTTAAATACACAATGGTAATGTTTTGTAGAGAATAAAACATTAATTATTTTCATCAATATTCCAACCCACATTGTAAAAACTTAAACATTGATGATCTGTATAAACGAATGTAAAAAGTAAATTTGAGATTGTAATTTTAAAAAGAGACGATGACAATATATTTATTTATTTTTATACAAGTAAAAAATTAATAATAATAATAACAATAATAATGATAGTGAAATTTTACAATAATATCTTTTACAACCAATTGAAAAATTTGCCTGTAATTGCAAATGATAATAAACACTTTCTCTATAAATAAAAAAATTAGAAGAGTATCTATTAAGTTTTTAAAACATTTAAGTAATTTTTAAAAATTCAAGGGTTTCTATTGGAAACTAAAAGATATTGTCTCCGTTTTCGCGTGAGAGGGAGAAATTTTATTTTAAAAATCACTCAATTATTAAACTCGTAATAAAATGGTAAGGCCATTATTGTGAATGATGCCAAACTGCTAAAATCAAGGATGAACAGATGAGAGGAATGGGTAGTGGATTTTCATCCAACCAGCATATAACGCCATCCATATTCATCGCACTAACTTTCATCCAAAAGAAACACCGCAGCGGAGTCCACAACGCGAATCTGCGTCCAGCTGACAGTTAGTAAGTTACTGATCGGGACGGGAATGGGCCTTCGAAAGCCCTCCTCTCCTGTGGCCGTGACCGTGGCTGCATGGGCTCGGAAACCGAACCCCAGGCAGAGTATGAGAGCGATGAGAACGATGGGAACGAATTTCGTTCCCCTTTGGGAAACGGCCTATTCTTTTGCCGGTAGTGGGCAAGAAGCAACCACAGAAGAAACAAATAATTTTTTGAAGTTTGTGAAAGAACAAAAGCCTCCTTCCATCTCTGCAGTACATCATCTACTTTCTGGGTTCAGTTAAATGTAAGAAAAAAAAATATATATATACATATATATATATATAGTCATTAATATTGGGACGAAGAAAAAGAGTGAAAAGGAGCTTCTAGAACAGTGCAATCAACAATGAAGTAATCAGTGACAAACAACAAACATGAATACAGAATATGTGTTTGAATGACAACCACCAGAAAATCACGAAATTTCAAGTGGTCCATGATTAAACTTGATCCTGACATTGATATTTGACGTTATTCCCCGTTGCAAAAACACCACTACATCTAAAGAAACGAGAATTTATACCAATACAGAGAAACCACCCAAAACACAAGTCCAAAATTTGACGAGTTATTCAGAGAAGTTTCGTTCCAGAGTAATCTAAAATAAGCCACGCTCTTGGCAACATTATTCGTTTCCAGTTGCAGAAATGTGAATTTGGCAGCCAATAATGCAAAGGAAAAGCTTTCAACTTACAGCAGGCGTTGCGTGAATGAGCAGTAAAATTATTAATTCTCCTCCTCCCTCTCTTTCCCCCTTTCATTTTGTTTTCATTTAGACCCCAAGCCTCCATCGCGTTTCAGCTCCTTTTGGCATGGAGAGCATGCAGCCACTCGTTTAATAATTTTCCAGCTTGAACCCCTCCCCCCCCCTCCTACTTCGATGCTGTCTGACGTGGACTTTTCCTGATGAGTCAGCGAGTACAGCGTGGGCAGAGAGAGCGAGTCAACAGCCACCGTGGCAGGCCTCCACGAAGAGTGTAAAATAAGAATTAGACCCCTTCGAATCCGACGTGGGGGGGATCACGGGTGCGGGGGTCGGTGTGAGTGCACATTGGCCCACCACCCGTGCATTATGGCCGGGTCATGGGGATTGAGACCGAAGCCACCCTTTTTTCTATGAAGGATTTGGTGCTTCTCAAGGTTGGGTAGTTTCTAGCACATCATAGACGAGAAAGCCTGTAATAATTTATAGTTTTTTTTAAATGTATTTGCATGCAAATGAAACATGATTTTTTTTCAAATTGAAAATGTAAAGGAAATGTTCTGTTCTCCAAGGTTGTACATCAATTGGACCCATCCATTATTTTGATTGAAAGTTCTTTTAGTATGATATATATATATATATATGTTCCTTCTTGGTAAGGGACTATTTGTATCTTTGTCGAATGGCACGATTCTGTCTTGCAATGCCTTTATATTGGTTTGTAAAATGCATATGATTGATTCATTGACATTTACTAGATCTTGCTTTTAATAAACAAAAATAAAAATAATTTTTTAAAAGTACAATAATTTTATAAACCTGTATTTTAAAAGATAGATTTTGAACTGTGTGATAATATATATATATATATATATATATACACACACACACACACACATGAACTGCATAAGAATAAAACTTTATTTTTCTACTTTCCTATAAATTGCATGACATGTGATGAAATTTTTCTACTTTGAAATAAAAAAATTGTGTTGATTTTAAGACAAAAAAAACTTGAATATTTATAATTATTTTAATACAATTTTGAACCAATTTTTACATTTTTACATTTTTTTTTTACGCAAAGATTATGGCACAAGAAATGACATCTCATCTCATAATACCCAAGAGACAAAGTAAGTGTCTTAAGTGAAGTAGCCATTAACTAAGACTTATAATATTGTATATTATCAAGCCACATTGTGGTATTCCAAAATTCCACTTATTTGACTTGTTTGTTTAAGTACCATGAAGTTGTTTTGCCATCCATGATTTGTCCCATCTTCTAAAGAGGGTAGCCTTATGTTCAAGATGCTCTCCCAATTTCTTCTTGATAGCTAACCATCTATTTTATCCATGTTCTATTCACCCTTTTCACAAGAGGTTTCTTACCCGAAAGTCATTCCATGCATCTTGTTCAAATTTTTATTGTTATTTTAAATTTTATTTATAAAAATAAATATGAAAGATAAAAAAGTATTTCTAAATAGTCTACAAAAAATCCTATAAATAGATGTCACCTTTTGTGTAAACATTTAAATTATAGGAAGCACTTTACAACAAAGATAGGACAAAAACAACTTTGGATCATATTTGACTAAGGTTTGATTAATTAGAGAGTACATAAAAAACCAAAATTACTATGAATATTTTTAATATTTTTAATAATTATAAAATTTTATGATATTTTAAAATTGTACTTATGTAAGTTAATACACATATTAATAAGATCTCTTTTTATCTTGTGTATCTTTTAAGAATGATACTAGTTTTTTCCATAAAATTCGTCAAACAGAAAATACTACTAAATAATTTATGGATAAAATTAAAAACATATAAAATCACGAGAAGATTTCATGAAGGTTTTAAAATTATCCAAAAGGGCGTACATTTTATATTTCTAACACACATCTTTAAATGGTTTTTGTATCCTTAAAACTGAGTTTGTATTTGTTTAAAAACACATATCTAAGAACATGTCTAATTTCATATTTCTGTTACTACCTATTCTTATATACATATGAGATAAAAGAGGCTTTGTTTCATAATCATAAAAACTATGCACACTTCAAAAAAAAAAACATAAGAAATTCATGATTAATTATACCTTTTTATTGAGAACAATACTTTACCGTAACACCATCTATTGAATTACATCAATTTTTATTTTTATTTTTCTATCAAATCAACCAATCCACCACCAAAATAAATATCAAATAAATAAATTCGACTACATTAAAAGGTATCATTTTACTTTGCCATGCATCAAACCCATTTGTCACTTTAGAACGAAACCAACAAGCAACGAGACCATTCATCCGCTTTCAACCACTTTAAAGCAACGACCACTTTTCGGAGCCTTTTGCTTGAACGTTTTCGCGAGCTGAAAGAGTTTTGTTTGTTTGTTTGTTTTCTTTTTTTCTTTTTTTTACCACGCAGGCATCGTCACAACGACGACGAGAAAGGATCGATCGGAGAAGCACCCAATTGTGTCTTTATTTAGCCATCGCAGGCGTTTATTATGAGCTGCAATAGCTACTATAAAATGAGCCCTTTAGGTGGTAAATTGGAGGCGCAATTGCGGGGGGAGACAGAAAGGTTGAGAGGAGTTCGGCTCGCTCTGTAACTGAGAATTCTTCCATTCCAGCTTGGCCGGAGCATTCCACTCGGTGGATGACCCAGTCTTAGGCCAGGGTCTTTTTGCTGTCAATGCCGAACAAGCCTTGGATGCAACCTAGTTTAGCAACGTAGCCTCTGCCGCATCAACTTTTGATGTCTCGGATTCGTCCAGGTTGTGTGTATTATACCAGTCAGAGTCAGTGTTGGGTCAAAGCGGACGGAAGATCAGGCTGAATGATTGATTAGCTGGGTAACCTCTTGCTTTGGTTCGTATCAGTGAGGGAATTTTGATGAGTTCGAACTGTTGAGTGTCATCCAGACGTTCCCCGCAAAGAGAGCGAGAGAGAGAGAGCAGTCGACGAAGCCCGTGTTGCCACCTGGATTCTCGAAGTGGCCAGTTGTAGAATATTTGGAATTGTTCGTGGTTTGGTTTCTCGGGGTTGATTATTGCTTGTGGATCTCGGTTGTCTTCGCCCCTACCTGAACGGACCTCCTGATAGTTATGGACCAGGTAGTTTCTATTTTTATCACTGCGTCAGTTCAGCTCTGGTAAGCGCCTGCGCTGTTCAGTGGTTTGTACCATGTTGTGTCGAGATGCCTGGCATCGAGGTTGAACGAGACGTTGGATACTGCGCACCACCATCATCGCGTACGAACTCTGGGCCATGGAGTAGAATCCTACACAAGTTGCCTGAGATTAATGATGCCGTTCTTTAGCGTAAAAATTTGTTCCCCAGTGGTCCTAACCCGTCGCATGATGGCCTCTGCTTGCTCTGACAGTCTTGCCAGAGCTCGCAGCGCCTGAACAGCTATTTGCGCTCAGAGCGACTTCGAGAGAAGCTAGCATCGCCTCAAAGAACCCTTTAGTGCTCGGAGACAGTGATTCCATTATTGAGCAGGATTTTCAGCCCCCCCCCCCCCCGGTCCCATGCCGCTTGAGCTACCGTAGTCTTGGTCCGTCTTGGCATCACATGCTAGACCTTGGATTCTAGTTAGATGTCGTGGTGATTTCTTTGTGCATTGCGTGGAGTCGATGCAGCTGGAGACTCATGTCTCGTAGTTCGCGTTGTCTTAGATGTGACCATTTTCTAAGCCCGTTTTGTGCTATGTGCATAGGCTAGTGTGACACACTTTTAGTTGCTGGGTGACGAGTGGGCCCGAGGTCTTCTTCATCGTCCGTGCTGAAGCGTAATGAGGCAAAAGCAATAGTCAGCGCTAAGAAATCGTACAGTTTCTTGCAAAAGTGTCCTCGAAGGGAAGGAAAGCCTCGATCTGCTATTCGAGACTTCGAGAAGAGGACTTCTCGAGTTTACTCAAGGCTTTCAAAGGGGTAAGCTAACTCTCGGTTTAAGTTCTAGTACCTGGTGTGCACCTCGATGCATGTACTCAAAGCCTGTCCATTTGGGAGGATTTTACGATCTTCTTCGAACTTGCTCTCCTCCGATCGTCACTGTCATGCCTTCTAGGGCATATCATGTTGGCATAACTTGCATGTCTAGACCGCTTCCGTATCCGGGCTGCAAATTGATGCTGACAGCAAAGGTGCTGAATGGTTTGGTGAACCAGTTGCTCGCTTGATTAAGCAGAGTTCTGGACATGCACATACATGCCCTTTGAACGTGACTTGAAGTAGCCATGAAATCCTCGTTAGTGTCCGCCATGGTCGCGACGAACTTTTGATGCCTCTTTCCGGAGCTGGGATTTAAACTTTGGCTTCTGGATTGCATCGTAGTTGCCACACTTCCTTTCCGTTCGGGAGTGAAGAAGCGGCATTTCATGCAGTCTACTATATCTTAGACTGTTGTAAAAAGTTTAGACAAGTTTCTTGGTCACTATCGAAATGGTCTACTGCGCGGTGGCGTTTGAAAAAATGAGTATTTATATATATATATATATATATATGTCTGCAGGGGATTTGCATGCGAATCCCCTACAGATAAGAATATAGACCACGGTGCAGTCCCCCTACTGCATTTCATCTTCTTTACTTTATAATTCGCAGGGAAGAAAATTTAATTGATTGTGTTTGCGTTCCCTGCAGGCCATAAAGACGTTGGTACATATCAATATCGTCTGCTTCTAGGTGGTTGGAAGTAGTCATCTGTCTAAATCAAGGTCGATTTTGAAACATCAACCTTCAGCTCATAAAAAATACCATTGTGTGCTTCTTTCAGGGTTTCTTTGGCTTACTAGATCACCCTGTTAATTTAGTGAGGAGGTGATATAATTGGAGGAAGGACCGTTCTTGGTGACGAAGGCAACCATTTTGCAGGTAGCCTTTTGAACTCATCAAGTCGAAGCTGGGCCTAAGTTCTAGCTGGTCTAGTGTGCCGGCATGCGCCGATTAAGGGTGCCAAAGCTGAAGCCCGGGTGAGGGCATGGATTCCATTCTCGTCCTCTTAATTTCCCTTTTGTACTTGTTCGAAGTTCAGAAGGGCCATTGTGGGAAATTGGGCAATCTCTCGCTACTCCAATAGGAACCAATTCAAGCTATAGAAGGAAGACAGCCGTATCAAAACCTTCATTCGACTTTGGACTGGATCGTAGATGATAAAACACAATTGCAACAGAAGTGTGCGATTCTCAATCTCTCTAACAAGTAGTTAACCCTTTCGCTCGCAAGAACCCCAATCGTATAATGTGATGTGTATTGGCAACTTGAGGGATGAGATTGAATGTCGCTTATTGACATGATGCCGTGTGAACAATGTTTCAAGAATCCAGCAGACTAGAGTGAGCTGCCGGTTGAGGCAAAATTGAGAGTGAAAATATAGCTGTTGAGACTGCGAAGTCGTGCTAATGAAGTTGCAGTGAATTGGCAGAACCA